CGCAATATGGTTCATGGGGTCACGAAGAGTCGGACACGACTTAACGACTGGACAACAACAAAAAGAGACAGAAAAACTCAGCCCTGAATCAACCATTAAGGAAGGGGGGCACCACAGAGTTTTTCCCCCAGCTATCAAGGCTTTAACTCTTTCACCGCCACACTCAACTTTAGTCAAATTCTTTATAATAGTCCTTATCTGTCACCTTCAACTTTCATCTACATTGTTTAAAAAACATTTTCTTTGGCACTAAAGTTTGAAAGTTTGGTTTGAAGGTGATGTCAGAAATCACATTTATTTCCATCTCATGGTGTGACTGTCGAGGGGCACCATTGTTGAGTTGTGCTTAGGGCATTGCTTGGCCTTAATGTGGCCCTGGGAAAACTGCTTCAATTGTGGCATCTTGGAAACTCACCAGCTTGACACCTGAAAGAACCTCCAGCAGAGAGATGAGATTGTGACCATCTCGCAGGTCCTCGTAGAGGTCATTGACATGCTTGCGCACCTATAGGAGCAAAGCAGAGAGAGAAATCTGTTCAGGTGCTCTGAGAACTGCATAGGGCGAGAAAATGTATAGAGGAAGAAGGCAGCAATTCTCATGAGGGGAGGGTAAAAAGGGGGGAAATGTGCTATGCAAGAACTGAAGACCTGCCATCTGACTAATAAGCATGTTGATCAACTCCATTCACCCAACCATATTTTGCTTCAGAGATCTCACATATTTTTTTCCTGCTGTTGTAAGGGCCAGGAGCATGCACACTTTAAAGAATTAACTCACAGTATTAAATCTTTTTCTGGACTTGATGAAAAGCATCTGGCATAAGAATGCCAACATGCTTCTGTGGCAGCTTTAAAAAGGAACACCAAGGGGGGAGGGAGAAAAAAAAGAGCAGGCATAGTAGAATCAAAGGTGTGTTGGGCTTACCTTCATCAGGTGCTTATTCACCCATTTCGTGAAGGTCTTTTTCTGGACCCGGTCCCGTTCATCTGCAGAAAGAGAAGGGAGAAAGTGCAAACATGTCGAGTTAGCCTTTCAGTCATCTGGGAAAACAAACACAGCCTATCCAGACTAGCTTTCCTGCTGCGGGTTGCAAGGAGCGCCTCTTTTACATGTAGTTTCGGCCCCCACTCCAGCCCCCCGCCCCCGCCCCAGAGCTTTTCCAGAGAGCTTCAGGTATGCAGGCTTGTTTGCAGCCGATAGAGAACGTGGGGGCTGTTTTCTCAACAGGGTGCTTTTATCTTTTTTCACGCATTTATTGTGACTAGATGGCTCTCCCTCTGGCTCACCACATCAGGAAAGAGAATCAAAAACAATGGCCCCTTCTATTTTGCAAAAAGTCACTTGCAGGAGCTCGGGCAAGGGCAGCTGCTGAGCTGAGTCACGTAATACACCAGATCACTGGCTGATCTGGGCCGGTAGAATATGCGGAGGCTCCAGGTGCAGAGGGAGAATGCAAGTTTCTACAAACACATTTTTAGCAATGGGGTCTATGGGATTATAAATCAGTTCAACTTTCAAAGGGGTACAAATAATATCAGAAGAGATATTCTGAAGAGTTTCAAGGATACAAAGGAATTTGTCCAAATTTTACATTTCTATAAATGTAAAGTAGCAACGTAAAGCAAACTGGTCCATTAATGTTTCTTTAAATCAAGGGGGCAACCTGCATGCCTTAGGCAACCATCAGACTGCAATTCCCCCAAAACGGTGGTATATTTTGAGGTGGGAAATATACAAAGCTATAATGTAAATGCTAACAAAAATTTTAAAAAGCAAAGGAAAGCCCCAGACCCACCCCAAACTTTATTGAAAAAAGAAAAAGAAAACTTTTCTGTGTATCCTTGTCTTGCTTGTTACAGCTCTTGTTTTCCCAAAATGTTAAATGTGGTTTCCAGCCATCCACATGCTGCCCACCCCACCACCACCCCAGCTTCCACCAAGAACTATATTCACTGACAAACAGAAACCTGGAAAAAAATGGCATAATTGCCACACTGACATCAGCAACACCCTCACTTCTACGAGGACATTCAAGTTTTCTTCATACACAGTATCCAGACTCCAACAAGCTACCCATTCACACCAAAGATCCAGATGGATTTCTCATGAAAGCCAATTTGCAGAAACATTCTCACCATCATATTGCGTAGTCATATTGCACAGGTGCCATTGAAGCCACCAAGATTCCCGCCACCCACTCCAAAATTAAATTAAATCCCAAATTAAAGCTTCCACAACAGATGGTTGGCTAGCCTCTGTTTGAACACAAGCAATGAAGGAGAGCCCACCACCTCTCTGGGATGGTGGTTCCACTGCTGAATTAGTACTCTTATTGTCAGTTGGAGTTTGCTTTTCTCCATCTTAAATCCATTATTTCATGTCTTGCACTCTGGCACAAGGCAGTTGATGTCCTGACCTTCTTCTTTGTGACACTCTTTCTCTAATTTGAAGAATGCTATCATACCCTCCTCAGACACCTATTCTCTAATCCAAATATGACCAGCTGGCTCCTCCCATCTCTCTTCACAAGACTTACTTACTTTTTAATCATTCCTGAACCTACACCCCTTTCTCTGAACACTTCTTAAACTGTTGTGTCCAGAACCAGACGCTTCATCTGGTATTCAAGGTGGGTTCTGATCGAAGCAGAATGAAGTGGAGAAGAATATCATCCAATACCAGTTGCATCTTCTCTGTTCTTCAGGGACCCACCATCCTGTCTCTTGCTGTGCAATGTCTGTTTTTTCTACCCTGGATTCTCAAAACCCGTTTCATCTGCAAGGGCCTGAAAATCCTTTCCAAGTTCCAACGATGCCCTGTCTCTTCCTTCTGGTTGTCGTTCCTTCATTTAACTGTCTCCTTCAGGAGAATTGCTTCTGTCAGTTTCTGTTGTACAGCCTTCTTCTTGAGCTGAGAAATCCTTGTCCTTTCTTATTAGCTGAAGTACAGCCACTTGCTGCTCCAATCATGAGACTTTTTTCGCCAAGGACTGCTCCAAGCTTGTATACATTGCTAAGGTTGTTTCCAGACAGGAAGACAAACACGCTACAAGCTTTGCAGGTCACAGTTGCAGACTCTTGTCCATCCATCTTCATTTTTTTCTTTTTAAGGCTCCACCAGTAGAAAAGAAAATCTTTCTTCTCATTCTTCTCAGGCTCTCAGGTTTGCTACGCATAAACTCTTGACTTGTAAGGAAAAGCTGTTAGGGGCTCCTCTTCCCAACTCTCCTGGCAGATTCCTGTTTCCTCTCCCTGTTCCCTCATTTAGTGAGCAGGAATCTTGCTGCTTTATATTCCTCCTACTGTCTCTGTTTATCAAGGAGGAAGCAATCACCCACAGTGGACAATCGGCAGCTTTTAGGACATATCCACTGCAGCCAGCCGCTATTCAGGAGGTGACTCAGTTGTCAGGTCTCATAGTTTAGCACACAATCATTCAAAACATTCAGCTTCTTTGGTTATTTCATCCCTTTCTCCTGGGGAACTCCTTGGCAAACTCCTCTTAGGCCTCCCTGTTCATTTACTCTGTGAGCACCACAACCACACAGAAGCTAACTGAGGTACCATACATGAAAGGCTTCCAGCATGTTTCCATGAATATTCCCTATGTATTCTATGAAACATCACACCTTCGGATTCAGTTAGCCAAAGATATCCACATGTCTTTATCCTGCCTAACTTTTGCTAATCACAGAGCTAGCATTAATGAAACAAGAGATAATAGAAATCCTACCAAAGGCCTGAATTCAAACCTCAGCTCACTCACTGTATGCCAGAGAACTTTTGGAAAGTCTGAACTAGTATAGTGGTAGCCCATCTCACAAGAGTGATAGGAAGATGGTTGACCTAAGAAACAATCAACATGGAGGCAAGACATAAAAATCATATTGGCCCATGACAACCTGGTTGGTGGAAGTGAACCATGCAGAGGGCTTGTGATAAAAGTGCCAATTAATTCCTTAATATGAATATGCCTCTTCCTTTCCCTACACACGCTCCTTTTTCCTTCTCTCTTCACCGTCAACATTTAGAATGCAGACTCCTTCAGGCAGAGACCCATCCACTTATAGTTCTTTAAGCTTCACGTTCATTGATGCCTTATTCCAGGAAAGGGCAGACGTCGGGTTTGAAGGATCTACTCTGCTTCTGCACAGAATTCTTGAGATTCACCACTACATGCCTGATGTAAAAGACACTCTCGGGTTGAGGAATGCTGAGCCTGGCCACTTACTTACAACAGCAGAGTGGTGCAGAGCTTCTGCAGAGCCATCAGAGATCCAAACCCACTGTCGACATAAACAATCTCTACCCTTCCATCAAGCCCCATCATACACATTTTCCTTTCTATTTCTTTATTATTTTAAACATTTTATTAATTGTTTTTTGTCCCCGCCTTTGGTATATATTTGGGGGTCACTCAGCCTGGCTCCTGGCCTTCAGCCTCCCTTTAATCAGCCTTCAGAGACAATGAACAACCGACTGCAAATTGTGTACAGTTCTGTGCTCAAGGACTTTCCTTCTGTGAAACCTTGGAAAAGCTTCAGAAGGTTCTTTTCTCAGTCACTGTTTGTATGGATTTCTATGCATCCACAGATTAAAAAGAGCTGCAACACCTTCTCCCCAAAACACCACTTGCAATCAATGTCCAGGAATATTCCCACTGACGTCCTTCTAAAAAAAATTCCTTCTCAGAATATTTCCCATGACCAGAAAATGTGTCCACCATATTTAAACGAGTCTCAACACACTTCCTTTTACTTTTATCATAATTACAATACCTCACTCCCTGCCATTCCATTATCTTCAAGGCAGGACCATTCTGAGCTGCTCTGTCTAATTTCAGAAGAGAGCCCATCCAAAGGGCATCGAAGTTACATGTTCTATGAGGCAAACAGGATTCAAACCTGGAAGGAAGATCTATAACCACCCTTTGGGGACTGAATAGTCGAGTGTTCTCAGCAGGGCCAGAGACCTCATGCTCAAAAGGCCATGTTTTATCAAGTAACAAGCTATAAACATTTACCTTTTCTCATTATTGTCTGATCCAACAATCTCCTCCCCAGAATCCTGCCCCACAATGTTCAGGTCTTGGCTTGTTATATACTTAACAAAATGAGGAATATCACTACAGCAACTTTTCCCCAGTCAAATGCTCTTCAGGTGCACTGGATACCACTGGTCATAGCAGCTGGGATATGGTTTGTGGCCACCTAACACATCTGGGGTGCGTGAGGTAGAAGCAGGCTAAAGAAACCTAAACATTATTTTGCTTTAGTACTCATGTATTTATTCCATTCTCTCTTTTAAGCTAAATATTTAAAGAAAAAAAAAATCAGTTCTGTGTTTCTTTAGTAGGAATCAGGAACCTCTGATTTGCCAGCTGCTACAGAACAACAATTCCCAGCCAGCATGACCAATGATGACAGAAGCTGGAAAATCTGGAGGACAAGAGGCTCCCCATTTCTGACTTAGAACTCCTCTCAACTCAAGATGCCTTTTTAAAAAATGACTACCACCTAGTTCTACTGAAGGTGTTGAAATCTTGCAAAAAACATGGACAATCAATAGAAGACACTGCTATCATTTTTATAAGCTGCCTCAGGATGGACCTGCCCAACCCACATGGTGCAAATAACGGAAACAGAAGCAGCATCTCCTTCGTCATGCCTCAGGAAGAATGACCATTTTAAGGAGGAAATAGCAACCATGTTTCCAAGTTTCAGGTGCTAGAAAGAGAGATCCAACTGAGCTCTGCTCTTCCACTGATTTTCATATACCCTCACTTATGCCGGCCCCATAAACTGAACTGGAGCACTGCCACTTCCACCCAAGCTAATCTGGCTGAGATGGAAAAGCTCCCTGGTAGACTGCAATCAAATTCCCAATCAGTTCTGCTAAATTTTGGTATCTGATTTCTTCTGTAGGTACCCAAGACAAACTGCTCAAGGCAGCCAACTCACCTTGCAATAAAAAAAACCCAACTAGCT